AAAAAAAAAAAAAAAAAAAAAAAAAAAAAAAAACTACTAGACATAGATAGAGCTCATGACCAAAAAGCTTATTATACTTCAGATCGATTGAAATTTTTTGTGAGCTTAGCTTGTTAATATATAAATCGAGATCTGGAGGGCTGGTTGCTGAACAGCGTATTTAGCTATTAAACTTCATACTTCGGATGACTTGAAATTTTGATAGATTTTTTTTTTACAATATATAGAAATGAATTCAGGGATGCCCGCTCATTCTAATGGTCTTAAATTACTGCCAGCCAATGTTCAAAGAGCATCGTTGCAAGTATAAGTTAACATACTTCAGACGGGCTGTCCTTTTCATATCATTATAGTAACATTATAAATAGATGAAATATCTACAGCCAGCCCATTCCGATGGTCAAATCATATGAAAAATGTCAAAAACGTCATTTTCGTGAGTGCGGGCCACAGCGGGACGTCCCCATATAAGCTGCGGCCAGAAGTAGTAACCGTACTAGAAATTCGCTGAGATTTTGTATATGCGCTGTTCGGCACTTAGGAATGAAGAAATGTGAAAAATGGTCAAATTCGACGCGGTACCACGCCTACAGCTCTTGTGGGCGGAAATATGTTATCCGATTTTGATGAAATTCAGAGCATATGCTGGTTTTAACGAGAAAAGCTTAAATCTGAAAGATCGTCAAAATTGGTTTACATTGTCGTCCAGTAATTCTAGAAAAACAGGCGCAAATTTAAAAAAAAAAAATATTTTTTTATGAAATTTGGTGTGCCCTGCTCGTTTAAGCCAAAATTTTCCAACTTGCAAGATATAAAGAATTTTTTATTACGGCACCCACCTCCAACACAACTTTTTTGGCTCCAAGTACTAAATTTTATAAGTTTTGGAGAAAATGAGCAGGCACATTTATTTAATCTCTAAAGAAGTTCCTATTTCTTCAGTTTAAAAATGACAAAAGGAAAACATTTACAATACCTGCATACTAAATTATGTGCATGATATGTATTCACACTGAAACTTTCAATTTTACCTCCATTTTTGGCTGAATGTTGATTGTGATTAATAGACTGGCGAGTCATTAATATCTACACCTTCTTTAATTTCCACTTTTTATTGCATATTATTCATTTTATGTACATATCAGTCTTTCCTTTCAGCTCTACAATAAAAATTCAATAAATTTTACAAAAGGTGGGTCTACAAAAGGAAGAACTCGCAGCTCCTCGCAGCTGGAACTATTTGAGATATGACTACGGTGACCATATTAACCAACGTAAAATAAAGGACATTTTTTTTTCAAAATGATATGGGAATACGTTCATACAACTTGTATGATAAAAGTACCTTGGCCATATCGGAATTATTATTTAATTNCGCAGCTGGAACTATTTGAGATATGACTACGGTGACCATATTAACCAACGTAAAATAAAGGAAATTTTTTTTTTTCAAAATGATATGGGAATACGTTCATACAACTTGTATGATAAAAGTACCTTGCCCATATCGGAATTATTATTTAATCGTATAAGTTCATCTGCTGTAGCGAAAAATGAAGCCAAATCCTTTTCAAGGACTTCGCCATCCTTTGCTACCATTTACATTTCAAACGCGTTTACCATAATTCATACTGCACGACGAAGCCAGCACACAGTGGTTCAAAACTGGAATTCAAACCAATCAAAAAACAAAAAAAATATTTAGTTTGGTGAGCATTTTTTTATAACATTTCAAAAATTTTGTTTTGTGTATTTTTTGTTTTTGGAGAACCATTCAATTGTTTTCAACTAGTTTTTAATATGTAACATTTATTAACTGGAACAGGAGAATACATTTTCTTCAAAATTGCTACTTTTTCTGCATTTTTCTTTAAAAAATTTAATATAATCAAATTAAAATTCAGCAATCAGGCTCAACTGGTCTTTTGCAAATATTGTAAGCTTTTATAAAAAGAAAATAAAAATTAATCAAATTAAGTGAAAAATGAACTGAATGAATGCCAGTTTTGAACCACTCTGCAGCAGAGGGCTTATTGTTCTCTTTCTGTTGAACTGGAAACTCAGCGTGCAACACGATCCTGGGGACAACTTTCCCTGTGCTTTATAGATTATACAAAGTTTACCGACTAAATAGAAACCCTTAAGTGGGGTGCGAAACAAACTGGCGAAAGTTTTCATTATATTTTATAAGGGAGATTTTCAATTTTCATATTCTGCGTTTAAAAATTCACCTTTGAAAAATGCAGAGCCGATTTAAAGGACGGTTTAAGAAATAAAGGACAAAAGGTGTCCTTTATTTTGAAAACAATTATAAAGGACAGGGGATTAAAATAAAGGACTGTCCTTTAAAATAAAGGACGGATGGTCACCGTAGATATGACACGCATATTTAATGTTTCCTTTACTAACAGGCCTATTCTGCTTGTAACCGAACATTTTGTAACAAGCTAATTTTGTTACCAACAATTGTCACCACTTCTTGTAACCGCAATTCTATTTACCTTGATAACGTTTTAATTTATTCGGCAATTCAGCTATGGAGTTTTGTGTAAATTCTGGTGTTGCATATTTCACGGGGCAATATTTTGTTACCTGCTCATGAGATGGTAACAAAATTTACCGGTTACAAGAGTGTGGAGAATACGAAAAGGGTTTAAAAATTTACAGTAACTTTACTAACCGGTAACAAAATTTTTGTTGCCAACGCAGAATAGGCCTGTAAGTATAATTTAGCTCGCTTTCTAGGTCCTTTTTAAATATCCCTTTTTAAAGTAAGCACTCGAAAAATTTTACACTCACACAATTATATAGAATTTCAAGGTAAACTGTTTTATACATTTCAAAAGATTTATAAAAAGCAAAAGCAATGTTTGACCACAGATATATTCAAAAACTGCTCATCAATCAGATTGGCTTTTTATATATCCGCACAAGTGGAAAAATTTAATTCAAATTACTTGCGACAAAATCAAAATTTGTTCTTACAAACTAATTTTTTCGCATTGCTCCTACTTTAAGCTCGTGTCATGATTGCAAATATACATTTTTATCCAAAATTCTTTTTGGTTTGGGTTAGCTGGATATTTTGCTTGCATCTGCGTAATTACTTTTTTAGAATTCGCTAATCAGTTTTTACTACTTTTGGCCGCTGTAGTCCTATAGTGTGGGCGCGCGAGAGAAAAGTATACCGTGTCGTGTGATACATGGATGAAAAGATAATTCTGAGTACGGTATATCGTTCTCAGATCCTTTTACGCTAAAATGCCTCATTAAATTTCTAAGTTCAAAGAACTCAATATCTACCCAATTTAATACAATTGTACTTTTCATAATATTAAATATTTTAGTTAGCAGTGCCTTTTTTCCTTTGGAAGCGTAAAAATAAATTTATAATTAGATAAAACTAGCCAAAGCCCGCTTGCTTCGCGGCGCCTAATAAGATCGTTGCGTTGAGCAATACACAAATAGCGTTTAAAGGCAAAAAAGTTAGTTTACATTGAAACGACTAAAAGCGGAAACCTCCTCTCACATAGGCCAAGAATAATAGCGCAGTGATACCATATAGAATACTAATCCCTTTCGATGTCATCGTTTTAGTGATGGTCTTAGTTCCACCTCTAAGATCTGTGCCTAGCGTGCGTAGTATTCTTCTATGATCTTGCAACTTCAGCATTGGTCCGATGTACCATGTAAGCCAGTGATTCCCAAAGTGGTCCAGGTGAACCCCCAGGGGTCCACGGGAGACTTGACGGGGGTCCACGGTGAGATGAAAAAATGATCTGAGGTCTTTTTTGAAGTTAATGGAGATAACCTTCACTTTTCTGTAGGGGAATATGCTTCGGTCTTCCAGGCTGAGGTAATTGCAATACTCAAAGCCATGGACTACGTGGTGGAACATAGGTGGAGAGGAAGGAGTTTACATGATTGCAGTGACAACCAAGCTGCACTTAAGGCATTGGACAGCCCTCTATTTAAGTATTTTCAAACTAGTTCGGCAATGCAAGTCTCGACTAAAATATGATGGTGAACATAACGAGGTTGTTTTACTCTGGGTGCCAGGTCACTCAGGAGTACCTGATTATGAGACATCTGATCATTTGGCCAGAGTTGGCTCAGACTAGGCACTCCTCGGTCCGCACCCAGTTTTAGCACTCCCACCTTCGGCAATCGAAGCCACCATCAGAAACTGGGTGAATACTTCGCTCAGAAAAGACTGATAGGCATCGAGGGGATGCAGGTGGGCAAAACTCATGTTGCCTGACTGGTCACCGCACATGGCATAAACACCTGACTGTGATAGGCGTAAATGACAAGTCCATTTGCCCAAATTTGTGTGCTTCTTGCTTGCTTGGTTATTTGTCATAGATTTTTTTAAACTCGTTCTTTACTCTATTGTCAGTTTCTGAATTAAAAGTTTGGCGTAAAAAACTTAGCCGTTTTGATGTTTTAAGTTTTGTGTTTTAAACATGTGATAAATATTTTTCGCCTCACTTTAAAACTCGGAGCGATAAAAA